GTACTCGAGGTTATTAACCTCATAAGGACTAGAATGCAAGGTGGGAAAATGGTATGTAAATCTGTGCCTTAATGATTCACATATGTAAATAACGCGGCTTATTCGACTTCTGCACATTAAGATATTACATGAAGTGTAAAAGAGCACCAATTATGCTTTTTCATATTTTCTGTCATAGATACAGGACCTAGCCACTCTCTGCCACTCACTTACTCAAGAGGAAGAGGAATGGGTTCTGCCGTAGTGAGTCGCGTCAGGTCATCAATCAGCTTCAATTTCCACTGACGCCTTTTCACCTACAGATGAAGGTAATGAAGGCACTGGAGTACACCCAACAACAACCAGAAAGACGTAACCGCATTGTGTGTATTTAAAAAGGCAATAACAATCAACAAATAAGTGGTACCTGCCATGTGCCGAGGCCAAAGGTGGTGGCAGGGATGAGCAGCAGGAACCATTTAAGAAAAGAGTCTTCTCCTTTCTCTGCAGCTGTGGCTGCTGTGGATCTGAACTGTCGTCCAAAGCCAAGGAACCTGCCTGGATATGTAAAGAATAATAGTGAAAGGTGGATTCCTTGGAGAATCGAACAGCATATTGACATAACAGTTACAAATAATATAATGGAATAACGTATATATGCTACCCAAAAAATTTATACATAAAGATTATTTCAGCAGCCATGGAGACAGACATTAATGTAAACCGAACAGGTTTTGTTGATTTTATTATATTATTACGTAGTAATTACTTTTTTTTTTAACCTAATTTCACCATTAAAGACAAAATATCATATAACAGATACAAAACAGATTTATTTTCTACTTTTTTTTTTAATGGAAAAAATATGTAACAGTGACTTTATTCGCTAATTATCTAAAGGTGGTGTAATTGTTGACAAGTTTAGTCTGTACCGTCTACACGTTTGAAGGGTCCTGGCAGGAAGAAAGACCTCTTGGTGTAAAAGGCATGGTTCTGAAATACACATGTATAAAATAAACTCAGCATTTTTGCAAGTCGTTCACTCGGCGATGAAAATGACTTTGACGTATTATTATTTTTTGAGCCGTAAAGACGAGAAACTGCGACAATTAACGCACCTGTGTTTTTAGTGTCGGCAGCAGCCTCCGGGAGTAAGTCAGCAGAGATGTCAGAGAGACCATTCTGAATCAAAACAACGTGGAAATGGATGAAAATGGACGAGACAACCGGCTACATTACAACTACATAACTGACAAGTTTCTGCTTGGAGGGGGACCACTTCTGGTGTTACTACTTCCGGATTGGGGACGCCCCGCCCCTTTTAATTTTTACACACGTGCTTATGTGAACGTGTTGATGTTTTTATCGGTAAATATCGTGTGTGTGTTTTATCCGGATTAAAGGTGGGAGACCGTTTCACTTTTCGACATGGATCTCGCCTCAAAGGACTCGTACATTCAGAAACTTGCAAGTAAAGTGTTTTCTCAACGAGACCAGGAGCCCAGGAAGAGACCGTTCGGTAATGTTAGCTAACTGCTTGGGTTTGTTTACATGGCAAAATTGAAGCTGTAGTGCATACTTTAA